TTTAGGGAGATTCATTAAAGAGACAAGTGGCTGATTAGGTGGGATAGAAATCGCCAAGGACCAGAACCTGAGACGCCGCCCTGATGCCTCTCATAACCTTTGCTAAAGTGCTGCTTGTTACTCAACCATCTAACACCTCTGGATCTGACCTGCCTCTTGTGTACTGTCAGGATGTGGGAGGAATAGGACAGTCCTCCTGCCAGCAGGGCTCCGAGCTCCTGGGTTGGGAGTGGGGATAATTCCACTGTCCTGCCTCTCTGAGGAAGGTTTATCTCGTGGGACACACTGTATAACTTCTCTGTTGGGCCCTAAGGCAAAGGAGGGGTGATCTGTGCTTGGAAGTGCATGTTTGGGAAACAGGCCCCAGCCATGTCCTTTTGCCAGGGGACAGCTGACATCACCAGGGAGATATCTGAGCAGGCAATTGGTGGAGCAATAACACAGAGCCAGGCAGCAGGGAGGGGCACCAGGTTTTCCTTTCAGTGTTTATAAAGCCCATAGGTGAGGGCACACGGCTTACAAATACATCCCTCCTCCCAGCCCCCTTCTAAATACTGTCTGGATAAAAGCCCTGCAGTGTAGGGAGGTCTCCATGGGGACAGCGAGGAGGTGACTTGTACTCCACAGCTGGCAGGAAAGGTTTCTGGGTTGACTGGAAACAATCTCCTTTCATGCACCTTCCCCACCTCTGACAGACGCGCACATTAAAGAAAATAACGTGACATGTTCCCTCTGAAACGGGAGGTTTGTGTCTCACTTCCCCGTCTGGCTGTGTCACCGTGATACTGAGCAGCGCTGGTCTCCCACAGCTGACAGTAATAATCAGCCTCGTCCTGCGCCTGGACGCCAGTGATGGTTAACGTGGCCGTGCTACCGGAGCTGGCCCCAGAGAATCTCTCCGGGATTCCGGAGGGTCTGCTCCTACTATCATACATAATGAGTAGTGGGGCACTGCCAGGTTTCTGTTGGTACCACTGCACATTCCCGCTACCAATGCTGTTCCCTGAGCAGGTGAGTTGAGCATTTTGTCCTGGAGCCACGGACACTGAGGGCGGCTGAGTCAGCACGTACCGAGCGAGAGATCCTGAGACAGGAGGAGAAAACACATGGATAAAATGACTCAACAACATTGACTTTATCCCCAGTTAACATGATCTGCAGGCAGCCAGGGGGAAAGCTCTCCCCTTTGTAGTACCTGAGCAGTAAGTGAGCAGCGTGAGGAGCAGAGGGGCCCAGGCCATGGTGGGAATCCAGACGAGCTCAGCTTCCTGAGGCAAACGGGTCTGTGGCTGGGACCCTCCGATTCTCTCTTAAACCCCCAGAGCTGGAGAACGGCCCCTTCATGCAAATCTGCTCCCTGCTCATTGGCTACTCAAGCATCTTCATTCACACATATGAGAGGAGCAGACCCGGGGCCAATCTCTAGACCAATTCTTCTCTGTTTTTCACCGGTGTAAATCCAGGGTAACTCCGCTGAAGTTCATGCAGCCGAACTGTTTACAAACGGTGTAAGTGAGAGGAGAATCAGGGCCTCTCTGCGTAAATTCAGAGCCAAAGGCATCCTGCTGAGTCACTGAACCATACAGAGCCCATTGTTCATAGCCATAAAAGGATCCTTTACACATTCGGGTTAGAAATATCCTATCCACACTGGCACTGCATTGGGGGGTACTTTTATATACCTGGGGACCATCCACTGCACCTTACAAAGTCTTCTGCTATGTTAGCGAAGGAAGCTGCTGGTCTAATTGTACGGCAGGATAATAACCCATAATCTGTTGTTGGATAGTTACACCCAGGGCAGTTCTGGACGCAAAGGGCTGAGTCTGATAGGGAGAGACCTGCACTCGGAGAGGGGATTTATGCCATTGGATTGTGGGCTAGAAGAGGAAAGGGAGGACTTTAGTTCCAGGGGAGCTCTGGTGGATTTCACTCTGGGCAGGTTTTTGCTCAATGCCCAAGTCCATATCCATGCTTAGCCTCTCTCAGCAGGTGGGAAAATGTATCAGGGAAACACCAACGAAGTATCCTCCCGAGAGATCACTGCACTGAAAGCATTTCTGTAGTGTTTACGGTGTCTGTATAAAGATACAAGGGAATGAGGTGCCAGCAGAAGGGACTGATCGTAGACAGGAAAGAGGAGGTGTGGGTGATGGAACTCCAAAGCAGACTATTTCAGAGGGAGCCTGGCCTGCAGGTTGGAAGAGTGCTCTGGCAGTCAGGAGACAAAGGTTTGATTAGCAGCTCTGCCACAGACGTGATGAATGACCCTGGCCAAAGTCTAAACATCCCTGAGCCTAGATTTCCCCATCTATAAAACGAGGATCTTATCTTAGGGGTTCAGAGTGCCTCCCATCACCATCGTATCTGAGCTTTCTCCACAGAAAGTCCCCAGTGGCCAGCAGGGCCTTCCTTCCATTTTGGAGTAAAAACTATGCTTGGGGTAGGGTTTGCGGGATTGGTTATATTTAGAGTTTATTAATTTTCTTTTTGTAGTTGGCTGCTTGGTTAATTTTTGTTTCATGTTAATTTGTTTCAGGGGATTATTTTTTACTTTTTATTTTTTGGTCAGCTGGGTTTTGTGAGGTAGGAGTGTGTCATGAGTGTCATTCGTCCTGCAGAAAGGCCTTCATAATACCGCGCATGGGTGTTGGGAAACTTAAATCATTGATGACTGTAAAGATCTTGAGGTTCCTGGTGGGAAAGTGCTCTATAATGAAGACTGTATTTTAGTAATAGGACAAGCTTCAGGGGGAGTACTTGAAGCTATCAGCGTGAGATTTCTTAGCACGGATGAAAAGCCCTTATAATCCAGACCCACTTCTGTATCTCAGCAGCTTGTAGTAAAAAGGGATTTTCTCACATCTTTCATACATTGTAGATGAAGAGCTCCCTCTAGTGGTTAACGTTAGAGTGCTCACATATCTGCTCTGACTGTTATCTCTTAACAGACAGTGAGGATCCCTAGGGCAGGGCCGGCTCCAGGGTTTTTGCCGCCCCAAGCAGGCAAAAATTAAAAAAAAAAAAAAAGGCCACGATCGTGATCGCGATCCGCGGCGGCAATTCGGCGGGAGGTCCTTTGCTCCGAGTGGGAGTGAGGGACCCTCCGCCGAATTGCCGCAGAATAGCTGGACGTGCCGCCCCTCTCTGGAGTGGCCGCCCCAAGCACCTGCTTGGTAAGCTGGTGCCTGGAGCCGGCCCTGCCCTGGGGGTATGGTAGGGGAGAGAGACCAAGAAGAGCTGTTTCCTTGCAGTTCTGGGGAGGAACTGAAATACAAACACAAGAGACTCTCACCTGCTCTGGGGCTGCTTTACAAACTCAGAGCAGGGTCATGGAAAAGTCTGTGAAACCTCGGAACAACCCTGGGCCGGTTAATGGGTTGACGGTGAAATCACTGCAGACTCAGGGTGTCCAGACAAAACCAGCTGGAGCCCAGTGGCTGGGGCTCAGATTCACGTTCAGAGTTTGGGAGTTCACTTGACACCGAACCGCGAAGGAAAAGGTGGAAGAACCTGACGCCACCAGCACCAGACCCAGCAAACTCCTGACTCCCTGCACAGGGACGCAGTGAGCGTCACACAGTCAAGTCTCTGGTATCGACAGACGATGTCACAGCCAGTGCCAAATTCTGCAGCCAGCACAGCTGAGAGCTCAGACCTTGGCCAGAGAGGATGCGATTTGCTCGGGGGATGTTTCTGTCTCACTTCCCCATGTGGGTGTATCACTGTGAGACACTCCCCCGCTGCTATACCACACAGCACAGTAATAATCAGCCTCGTCCTCTGCCTGGACATTGGTGATGGTCAAATACCAAACGTTGCTGGAGCTCTCCTTGGACCCTGAGAATCGGTCAGGGACCCCAGAGCCCCTGCTCATGCTGTTATAGTAATAGAGCAGGTATCGCGGAGGGCTGCCAGGCGTCTGTTGCAGCCAGTTCTGGGGATAGCTCTGCACAGTGACCCCACTGCTCATGGAACAGGAGATTTTGACGGTCTGTCCAGGGGATGCGGTCATGGAGGGCGGCTGAGTCAGGACAGGCTGGGCGCTGGAGGCTGGGGATACAACGGTAACAGGTGTTAGCGCTCAGGGAGACCGGATCCTGGTACCTCACCTTGCAGGGGACTGAACAGGATTCTTTTAATCCTCTCCCTCCCCCCCTATTCTCACCTGTGCACCACGTCCCCAGCAGGACGATGAGGGGAGCCCAGAGCATGGTGAGGTGATTTCAGTCTCCCGCAAGAAACAAAGGTGGTCACACTGAGAATGCCTGGCAGTATCTGCCCCTTGTACTGACCCTGCTAAATAAGCAGTATGCAAGCTCCACCCCTTATGCTAATCGCCTCTCCTCTGAGCGGCCATGTGACCACCCAGAGCTGGCCCCATGGGAGGAGACACTGAGTTTTAGTGACAAGCTCCTGGCTTATAAAGGCGGACCCCACAGCTGGCCCAGCCGTGTAGTAGAAGACTCATGCAGAGATATCTTAATGAGCCACATAATCATGTAGCTCTTTTCTTAATTAGCCCCACAGCTCTGATGATGCTTTAGATACCATTAGCACCCTGATGTACTCTTGTCACATGGTGTGTGACCCAAAGAACATAGCAGAACTGAGCTAGGCTGATGCACAGGGAAAACCCAGGGAGAGGCACCCATAATGGAGATTCACTTGTCACAATACCTAGACTCCCAGTCGCCCCACAGAGGATATATTGCCCCAGAGAGTCAAAAGAAAAACCTCAAGGATCCCAGACTGTCACATCGGTGACACTAAGGAGGCAGAGAAAAGCAGGAGAAATAGCACAGAGAAGCACTCTACTGTACAGAAACACAAATAATTATCAACCCATAAACTTCTACAGAGAAACCTGTTCGTTCAGTGCATTTATCCCCTTTTTCTCTTCAGAAATCATCCACACAATTGTGGTTCTGATTTGTGTAACAAACACATTCTGTGACTGTGTCGCATCCCACAGGTCGCTCCTGAACGATGGGCTTTGCCTATCCCTTATTTGATTTGTTGTCTGTCTGGTCACCTGGTTTTACTTCTGCTCTTTGACGGAATGGCTGGACATTTAATAACTAGGAGGGGAGAAATCAAAGAGTTCAACACAACTCTGCGCACACTTGTAACCTGGACCATCGTGCCAATGCATTCGCAGGAGTGTTTGCGCCGTTTCTTTCTTTCAAGCCCCCGTCCCTCTCTCCCTCCCCACTAGAGATGTTCATGGAGAAGAAATTGAAAGGCGAATGAATCCCATCCAAGCGCATAGATGGGGTTTGAGCCCAATGGAAAGTTAATGAACATTGAAATGCAACATTTGCCCATTGCTCCCAGAAACAATGTATGGAGCAGGGCATCACACACCGCACCAGCAGTGCTCTAGGGCCCACGGGGGTCAATGGGCGGGTTTCTATTGACGTCAGTGGGCGCTGGGTCAGGGCCGAGGAGAGCTCTACGGTGTCATGACCTCTTGGATTTAGTAGGGAGTACAAATGCTGAAGCCCAACATGGGCCACAATCTAAATCCCCCCAAATCGATGTGAGAGAGAGAGGAGGGGGCGAGGCACGGTCTCCATCCGTTCTGGTTCAGGCCCTGGGATGCTCCCCGCACACAAAGATCCTTTTCGGGCTCAAATGACTTTTATTTAGATGAGGGGAAATGATAAAACGAGGATGAGAAGCACGAAGCGTCTCCTGGGAGAGCGGCCATCATGACTAGGGCTGCGATTCTGTACAGAGGTCACGGATTCCGTGACTTTCCGCGACCTCCGTGACTTTCGCAGCTGCAATGGCTGGTGTGGCTGATCCCAGGGCCACCAGAGCAGCCACCCTCGGGACCGGCTGCTCCGACGCCTCATGGCCAGCCACACCGAGGGCTGCTGGAGCGGCCCCACGGCCAGCCTACCGGCCATTGCTCAGGCAGTCCCGGGGTGGCTGGCCCTGGGGAGCGCCCGAGCAGTGGTCCTGGGGCTGCCCTGGGCCCAGCTGCACCAGCCACAGCTCGTGCGGCTGGCCCAGAGGGACAAATCCCTCTTGTCAGTCCTGGGGCGGCTGGCCCCGAGCAGCGCCCGAGCAGCAGTCCCAGGAGTGGCCCCGGGGAGCACCCAAGCAGCGGTCCTTGGGGCCTCGGAGCAGGGGAGTCTGGGGGCAACCAGCCCCCATGGCCAGTGCAGGGGCTAGCCGTTGGCCCCCGGTCCCCCACAACAGCAGTGTCCTGTGGCCCCCCAGAGCAGCAGCGCCCGGGGCCCCAGGAGCTGCTAAGTTTTGGTCAGAGGTATTTATATAGTAAAAGTCATGGCCCGGTCATGGGCCATGAATTTTTCTTTATTGCCCATGACCGGTCCGTGACTTTTACTAAAAATACCCATGACTAAATCTTAGCCTCAATGAGCTGCCCCACAGTGCCCAGCACAGAGACGCCTGGCGTTTAGAGAGCCAGTGCGCAGAACAGTGAATGGGAAGGGGTCTCTCGCAGGGACTGATTCCACTGATTGCTCTAGGAACCCATGGAGGGGGTAAGGTGGTTTCTATGGTTTCAAAGGCTGTGTCTAATGTTACCAGGGAATTGCCTGCTTCATTCCACGGCCGTACCACAGCAGGTGGGAGATCAGAGAAAGAACACGAACCAAGCAGCAGACAGGGCACAATTAGTCCCTGTCAGGACTCAACAAGAATAAACCTGAGCTGCCTTTGATCTGTGAATTACCCGCCCTACTCCAAAGAGAAGTTTGGTAAACAACTGGTGGAGAGAGATGAAAGCTGGTTTCCATGGGGATAAAATCTAGACAGGCGTGGGAAGATTTGGGGGCTCGTTAAAAATGCAACCTCCACCCCCCATCCTCTGACAGATGCCATATGCCACGCAGGAATGAGGAGCACCCTCACTTCTAGAAGCTCCTTGCCCTCGACGGTTGTTTGTGTCTCACTCCCCCATCTGGTTGTGTCACCATAGTCTTCAGTGCTGTTCCCTGAGCAGGTGAGTAGAGCGTTTTGCTCTGGAGACACTGAAGGCGGCTGAGTCAGCACGTACTGGGTGAGAGAACCTGAGACAGGAGGAGAAAACACTGGGTAAAACGGACTCAACATTGACTTTATCCCCAGTTAACATGATCTGCAGGGAGCCAGGGGAAAAACCAGAGCACCAGAGCAGTAAGTGAGCAGCATGAGGAGCAGAGGGGCCCAGGCCATGGTGGGGAATCCAGACGAGCTCGGCTTCCTGAGGCAAACGGGTCTGTGGCTGGGACCCTCCGATTCTCTCTTAAACCCCCAGAGCTGGAGAACGGCCCCTTCATGCTCTCTCCCGGGGGAAGTGAATGGGCAGTGTGTGGAGCAGCACCCCCCACTGATAGCAAGGGGTGGCTGAAATGTCTAAGGAGGAGCAATCAGTGTCTCATCGATTGCAGGCAGGAACCAAACTGTGCAGCCAGGGGAGGTTTTTGTCTCAGTTCCCCATCTGGCTGGATCACTGTGATTCACACTACTAGTCCACACAGCACAGTAATAGTCAGCCTCATCCTCTGCCTGGACACCGGTGATGGTCAAGGCAGCGTTGTTACCGGATATGGACCCAGAGAACCGGGCAGGGATCCCGGAGGGTCTGTTATTAGTGTAGTATATAAGCTGTCGAGGAGCAGAGCCTGGTTTCTGCTGGAACCAGCCTGGATAGTTGCTGCTGGTGATGGCTCCAGAGCTCAGACTGCAGGACAGAGTGACAGCCCCTCCTGGGGTCTCCGACATTGAGGGCTCCTGAGTCACCACGGGCTGTGAACTGACCCCTGAAATCAACATTACAAACACACTCAGCACAAGGACTCTGGATCCTCACAGACAAACCTCCTCACCTGCAAGTGTCCTTCATATTTTTGTCACTGAAGCAAACAATTCCCTCACCTGAGCAGTAAGTGAGCAGCGTGAGGAGCAGAGGGGCCCAGGCCATGGTGGGGAATCCAGATGAGCTCGGCTTCCTGAGGCAAACGGGTCTCTGGCTGGGACCCTCCGATTCTCTCTTAAACCCCCAGCGCTGGAGAACGGCCCCTTCATGCAAATCTGCCTGATACTGTTGGCATCTCATATCGAAGCTGAGCCCTGCAGATTGCCTGGGCAGAATCGCTCTCTAAGGTCCCATGTGACAGAAGTAAGAAAGGCCCCTTTTTCTTTATCACTTGCTCAGGGGAAGCCAATGTGATCCCAGTGCGGAGAGCTCCGACTGGGAAATGTGCC